ATGGAAAAAAGCTCGCATTAATTAATTAAAAAGTCTGGAAAAAAAGGCACAATTACCAATTGATTTAATTAAAACCGGTAGTTAAAGAACAAAAAGGTTTAAAAATGAAAAGAAAATTTATTTTAATTATGCATTAAAAAAATTTGCATCCAAATATATATGAATATACACTAAGTCCAGAAATTTATGGTTCCAGAAATTTATGTCGTAACTCGAATGAATTAATCAAACTATTTAATAATATAATTGACCTGTTTACCTGTTTAATTTTAAAGAAAAGGTAACAAAGTTTAAAAAAAAAAAAATATAATAACGAAACCAAAAAAACTAAATTTTGTGACAAAAATAAATCTGGTTAAGTTGATATATATCACTTCAATTCATATTTTTAACTACTGGCTAGCATTTTTAACTAGAAAGGGTTTATTATTGAAATAATGAGCTTTAGTCTTGTTTCATAACTAAATTCGGTATAAAATTTTACTCAATGTCGTATCAGAAATAATGTCGCAAGTCGAATAAAAATGGTCCAAATTTACATCATGTCGTTACTCGAAATGTCGTATTAGAAGATGTCAGAAATAGCATCCCAATTTGCTCTAACAATTCTCAATGAAGAATAATTACAAAAAATCAAAAAAAAAATTTTAAAAAATATTTTAATGATTAAGTCTAAACATTGCATTGTAATATTTACTTTTTTTATTTGTTATTTGTGGTTCTAACTTTCTATTATTATTTTCATTTAGCAATGGCAGTATTGTTTTTATTTCTATTTGTATTTTCAGAAATTGGTAAGGCACAGAAAACGTAAAATAAAATTTTAAGAAAATCTGTTATTAATTGGCGAAAATGTCGGCCCTTACTGAAGGCCTAATTGCTAGAAATCAATGGATCCCAGAACGAAATCAATTCATGAAATCCCCAAGCCACAATTATACCTTTCATTGAAAATAATGGAAATTCGACTTTCTCTTAATGAATAAATAAACAAAAAAGAGGTAATTTTAACTTAAAACACAGTTTAAACAATAAATTTTTCAATTTTATATTTTCTTAGTATGACTTTTCACATATTGAAAAATAACTTTCAAATTCATATGCATTTAATTCAACTTAAAACTTAATATGTAATTCATATGTACTTCATATGTAATTCAGCTTAAAACTAATTTAATGATAAATATAACAATCCTTTTTCATAACAATGTTTTATGTAGATTAAATCATATGCTTGTACTAAAAGGCACCTAAGTTAAAATAGCATATTTTTTTTCATAAAATTTATAAAATACTTTGAGCACATTTTGCTTGGAGCTAGCTTATGTTTTTCATATTAGTGTTCATTATGATTGCGCTTTCATTTAGAAATTTGAAATTTAATTTTTATTTAAATAAATTGACTAATTGCATCTAGTTTTAAATCTATTAACTTTGAATACTCATGGAAAAAAGGAATTAGCTCTGATCGCAATCCTATTTATTCTACTTGTATATAAATTCTTTTATCCTATAAAACAAATTGTTATTTGCTTAAATATGATTATGCTTATGTAAATCTTTTATATAATATGTATTTATATTTATTAATAAATTTCTAGTGTCATAGAAAGATTTATAAGAAAAAAGTTTTATATTTATCTAATTGTCCGATTAAATGTATTAATTTTTATCTTTGGAATGATTTAATAATCTCAATAAATTAAATATTTAAGTATTTATTCTATCATTATTACATATTCTAAAATTGCTTTTTTAAATTTGATATATAATTTTCTGATATTTTAGGATTTCATATTTACGATAATTTAAATAAACTTTGTATTTTCTTCTTATATTAATTTTTCTCAAATTTAATCAGGAAATTTAATATTACTTAATTTAACATTATTTAATTTAGTATGATATATTAATATTGAAATGTGCTATAAAAATGTTTTCTATCACAAAATCGTTGCATTTAAATATACATATGTATTTTTAAAATATGTTTTAATGGAAGATATTTTAAATTTTAATATTAAAGAATGAATTTTGTTCGATATAATATATAAGTCACTTAAATTTCTACATTATATATATATATATATATATATATATATATATATATATATATATAATTTATTGACTAGATATTTAAACATAATCTCAATCAAGACATATTTAATGCCAAAGAAAAACTTGTGTCTCAAGAATTTAGAGAAGGAAATTATGTTGAAATAATTTAAAATATTTTATCACAGGTCAAGATTGAGTTTAGTTTATAACTACCCAACTTTCATATTAAATGTTCATATACATGTATTTTCATAATTTTTTCAATGATATGAAAAATAAAAGAATTGAACGGCAGCAATACTTATTTAAATCTCTTAATTCTTACTTCCGAATTTCTCAAAACATTGCTACAAGATATTTTTTTTATTTCACTTTTATATTAAAAATATGTTGGTAAGTAGCTACCAGCTTGTCCTGTTTTTTAGTTATGCTTACACAATGGAGTACCTGTACGATATTTTTCTTGAACCGTCATTACTTCTTATATTAGCGTCAGTAATAAAATGTTGAACAAAATTACTTTTTGCTAGTATAAAGGTGTAAAATAAAAAATAAGGAGTAGCTACAGTTATAAATATGTAACAAAACTGAGAAATTCTGTCAGTTTGACCAAAAGGATAAAACAAGTATCCCCTACGCACAGCATCTCTTGTGTGATGAGTAAAAAATGCACAACAAATTATAGCAAGAAATAAACTAATTTTAAGAAAATTGAAACAACTTGCAAGAACGTAAAGAATAAAAATTATTAAGGGAATCATTGAATTATGTAAAAATGGACGATGTGTTAAAGATGTTGCATCCTATAAATATAAAAAATTAAATTAAATACAAATGAAAATATTAAATTACCTCTAGTTGAAAGGACCTGGCCTCAATGAAGTGATCAAAATCAATCAAAGAAGATATTGCAAAACAAACTAGAATTAATATCCATCCTAATAAATTAGAGAGCTTATCATACATTTGGCATATAAATGCTATTCCTGATAAAGCACCTGAAATCAATTTGGGTTTTTTAACGATATGCTTACCAAATTTATTATTATATACATATGTACACGAAGTAACTTTTATTTTAACAAATTTCTATACGTACCTATAACAGCATGAGTTGCGTTGTCACAAAGTGCTCTAAATATTGGATGATTAATATATTGCACAAAGTTATCTCCAAGTAAGCATGATATTATTACCAATGTAGTTAATACCAAACGAATATAAATCATCATAATAACATCAATAATAAGCAAAAGAATTCAAAAGCCGACTTCAAAATAAGGTAATTATCAATATAGTAAAGCATACAACAAGAAATAGATATGTATTTACTACATTTCCTTTTGCGGTAGGTACATGTATTGACATTACGTATTCATAATATTCACTTAAATTCAAAGCATTGGAAAACAGTATTTCTCATATGTTTGATGACGTAAAAACAATCAATAACATAAAGGTTTGCTTAAAAGAACGCGTAAAGCATAGAGCATAATGTCAAAAATCTTTCATGCCAAATTACTTTCTTTAGAAATAGGTACTGCCATGAGCTGTCATAAAATTTATTTAACAACGTGTTTATATATTATATAAGTATTTTATAAAATGTTTTATTTTATTTTTAGAAATATAAAATTTGAGATATCTTTAGAAGAATAAGGTTTACAGTCGACTTTTTCGATTTTCAAACTCACGAATAAAAGTATAACACCCTTCTAGATAAGAGGGCAGCAGTTAAATTAATTTATTACAAAATGTAATTTTCAAATACATTTTTACACATGATTTTTAAACGATATTAAATCGATGCTTCATTGATTACTTTCCGATAAGAAGAAAGGGTACTTTTGGCCTTTTTTTTTTGATTTTCTTTTAATTCCTTATTTTTTATTTCTCTTAATTTTTAATTTCTTTTATTTTAATGCTTCAAATTTATTTTCCAAAATTTTATTTTTTTGTTGCATTTATTATGTGTAACAAACAATGAATTAGAAAATATTAGGTCAATTTTACTTTTTAGTTTTTACTTTTTAGACAATTTTCTTTATTCTAATGATTTTAAATCTTACCGTTTTAATACTACGAATTACACATTTTTTTAGTAAAATTTTTATTCTAATTTTTGATTAAAGCTTTTCAAATTTTTAAACATTTCGTATTAAAAATGGTGGCTAGCAATTTTGTTTCTAAATGGTCTCTTTTTTTGTAAGGTTAAACGTCACATTTTCAAGGATTTTCTTGATGCTTTGTATTATTTCAATCCATTGCTTACTTTAATAAGAAAAAATTTTTTAAGATACAACATCACATAAATTCTGAACATAAAACATCGTCAAATTTTTTTATTGATATTTTAGAAGACGATACAGTATCTGATGCGTCGTAGATGCAATTACGAAGATACCCTGTTTATCCAAATTTTTTTCTAAATAAAATATATTAAAACAAAAAATTTTCTCACTAAAATAAGCAATAGAATTAAGTAATACAATGCATCAAACTTTCTAAGTTTTCAAATGTAAAATAATACAGTATGTTGGAAAAAAAAATTCATTTTTTTCGATTTTGATCAAATCGCACAACTTTTGTTTGATGGCTCCAAACAAACCCTATTTCTAAAAGTATTTTTTTTTTTAAATATTTTTTTCTTTAATTCTCCTAATATCTTTTTCTTTTAATTAAAGAAAAAAATATTTAGTAGCAAATGGAAACACGTTCCTGCGTTGAAATTTTGTTAAATTGTTGCCGAATGGAAGTAAAACGGCAACACTGTTTCAAACGAAATATACATATCTACATATGTACATATTTAGATATAAAAAGGTAAGATAAAGTACAACGGGTCTTTTCTCAATGTTTTTTGTTACATCAAAAATTTTATTTTTATTTAATTTTTGCATATATAGCATAGAAATTACATTTACTTAAATACTACATTTATATTGTATACAAATATAATTCTTACAAATTAGTATTCTAAAAATTTGTTATAAAAAAGATTAAATTCAATGAGATTGTTGTTTTTATAAAAAAACTTTTAAAATCACGTGCAACAAAAATTAAAAATTGTTAACATTTAGATACCTGCATGCATATAATATATTTGTATATTTGTATATTTGTACATGAGCACTTGTATTTTTTATACTTATATATGTATAAAAATTTAAATGTTTCAATAGTTTTCAAACAATTTTTCTGATGAGGTTCTGCAAAATGGGCAATGACCTTTTTGTAACACTTGCAATTCAAAATCTTCTGAGTAAAAAATCTGCAAAAATAAATTGGTTACTTTTATTTTTATTTGCTTCATATTCTTACAAGAAGGCACTCTGGACAAAAAGTTATTTGTAGATCAGGTAACAAATTTCTGTAATACAAGTTTCGGCAATTCTTTTTGTTTCTTTTAACTATTAAAACATGACTCGGATTAATAGCACGTAAGGAATTCCGATCTAAGATCAAAGGTAAGGCACTGGTTAAAGCCTAAATTATTAAACATATCAATATTTCTTTTAGCTAAAAACAAAATTATAATAGTTTTACGTCATTAATATTATCTGAAAAAGGATCCATATGATGCTCAGACTCCTTTGGTGGTGCCAGTAATATTCTTTCAGCTTCTACATCGGTTACGTCTGCTTCAGTTTGAAATTCAACCAATGGTAATATTTCTACACATGAAATTCATCGTTAAACAAAAATGTGATTCAAAATCTATACGTATATATTTGCTTTACCAAAAGATGCAAAAGAAAAAATATACTCCTGATGACATGTTGGACAATAATTTCCATTTAAGTGAGTACTATAATTTGAGCATTTATAACACAAAGGTAATAAATCTTCGGGATCATTAAAACCACTTTTACAAGCTTTACTATTAAGGAAATTTATCTAGAAGTATTAAGGAAATATATCTGCAAGTTTACTTTTTTATAAAAATATGCCTTACATCTATTTGTTCCTGCATATTTGAAGGTGGTTTAAGGGTTTGCAGTTTTTTATTTATTTGAAAATACAGTTTGTTTGCTTTCAAAACCTTTGCTTGCTTAGATAAAGTGTAGAACACAGCACTGAAACAAAAATATTGATGTAATTGTTCAGATATCTTTATTGAAATTTACTTACAAGAGACTAACTCCTTTTGGTGGCCTTTTATGTTCTATTTCATTAGCAATATATCTACTAGTATTAAATAAGCTCATTGAAGAGTAACTTGTAAAGGGTTCTCTTAAATATGAATGAATTATATTATAAGCATAATATATTTTAGCAATTCTCAACAAGGATTTGTATTGCTTATAATAATGATCCTGAGATTGAGTTTCTCTAAAAAAGAAATTTTATACTAATTAGAGCTATAATTTCTAAACATAAGCTACTCTGTGTAAAGTCCTAAAAACTGTTTAGACATCAACCAATAAAAGTAACTAGCATCCAGAAACCTTTCCTCTGCTATAGCACATTCGCTTAAATTTTTCAAAAGCCTTTCTGCATCCTTTAAACGACCAGCTTTTATATAAGCTAAACAAGGTAATGAAAATAAAATAAAATATTTTAAATCTTTTTCTCATTAATAGAAATTATTTACATTCGTGAGCTGAAATAAATTGATCTGATTCAGCCAGCCACTGTGCATGCTGATAATGTACTAATGTTATTAACTCAGGAATATTTTCTGCTAAACGGAAAGCTTCAGCCCAATCTCTGGCCTCCACATGTAGTTGAACCACCTTTAGAAAATTAGAATTATACTATGTATTAGCGTTTCATCTCTAACGATTTAAATACCTGTGATTCTTCACCCAGCTTTTTGTAAATTTCAGCCGCTAATGGTAAAGCTTTTAGACGTTTTAAGTGGAATGCAATTTGTTCTAAAGCATTACGGTCATTCAGAGGTAATCTTCTACCTATATCATATAATCTAAATATAAAAAATTGATTACTAAGACCATTTTTTTATTGTTATATTCAACTTTGTTTAATATTGCAGGAAAATAACAGGTTATTTAGCAAGTAATAAGAAAAATGAAAAAAGGTTATTGAGCAAATACTAAGAATAATTTTTGTACTCACACGTCGGCCCAGCCTTGTTCTGCAACAATTTCTATAGCACGTTCATGTTCTCCAGCAGATAACAATAATTCAGCTGCTGCTCTTGGCTCATGTACAGAACAAGCCCATTCTGCTCTTCTTCTGATCAATTCCTTCTTATCAGCCACATCATCTTCTTTGAGAAATTCTTGAGCTAAATCAAACATCCTTAGATCACTATACATTGACAAAGCTCGATTGTTTTGACCACATTTTTGATAAAGCCTTGCAGCTTCTTTAAACTTTCCACTGAAGGCATAACTTTCTGCTTGCAAAACTTCTTTCGGAACCTCACCACGTTTTTGTTTTTCACGCAATTCATTTATTAGTTGTAGCCAAGGTAAATTTCTGACTTTAACATAAGCATCTCTTGCAATCGCAAGATGAAGTGCTTCGATAGCAGCTTGAGCTAATCCTTCCCAATCAGCATTTGTCACACCCAAACAAGCAACTTGATATGCTTCTCTAAAATATTTTTATATTTTAGGTTTTGTTATTATATGAAAGATAAGAAGTATACTCAAAAAAACCGGCTTCAATGAATTGCCACATCGTAGCACCTAAAGCTAAAGGCACGTTGTGCATAACATTTCCCCTTAGACAAAACGCAGTAGCGCCACACAAACCAACTATAACACCCATCATGCTTTGGGGACTTCTTGGAGGTAAGTTGCCTATTCGTACGCTAAGTCCACCACTAGTGTGCGAATAACATAACATAGAATCTAAATGCGTATTCCAAGCAACAGAGTTTACACCAGAGTCCTAGGTTTATATTTTCTAAATAGTGTTTCAACAACAAACCGAATATATAATAACTATACGAACCTGATATAACATGGTATCGTTAACAATATCTCTTACTACTAACCTACCGGCATCATCTACAACTGCTATTTTATTACGCTCTGCACTTAAATCCAAACACCTTACAGAAGACATTACAGTTGTCATGAGGATAGGGAGAGCGTTATCCAAGAAAATTCTCCAGACCTAATAAATTCTAATGTAAGAACTAGCAAAAAAAAATTAAGGCGAAACTTATACTTGTCCATTTTTTAATCCAAGCAACAAACCTTCTTTACCTGAAGGTCCTCCAGTTACTTTTATATAACGTATCAGGCTATCCATTATCCATTCTCGTTTTAATGTACCACTAAAATCTAGGCTTTGCAGCTTTTTTTCATGACATAATACAATATGTTGGGCACATACAACCTTAAAAATTCACATATTTACTAAACAGATTTATATAATCTCAAAAAGAAGTTATTATAGATACCAGCAAACTACATTCGAATTTTTTTGTAATTTTCTCCTTAACTTTATAATGCATCGGTTGATTTTGAGGTGAGCTTAGTTCGTACAAGACTACACGCTCTGGTAGCTGAACAGCTAAACGGTTTCTATAAATTGCAATTTTATGTACTAAATCGCGGCATTTGATCCTTACTTTCTGACCAGAAATTAAATGTTGTATTATAATGTCACACATATTCTCTCTATAGGCATATCTTTCCCTGTATAAGGCGTGAACGGTGCTTTGCACTATATTGTAGCAGGCTAAAGTTCCGTCTTGACAACCAACAACAAATGAATGTGAATTTGGGTGAATATCAATAGTCCAAACCCAAGATTCAAATGTTTCACCTAATGAACATAATTTAATTCCTTCCCTTGTGAAAAGTTGAACATTTTTATTGCAGCCACTTATCATTAAAAATTCTCCGTTTGGAAAATATCGCATGCATAATGGATCAAACCCTAAAGCTCTTTCTCTCCCTACAATTTGCCCAGCTAAAGTGTGAAAAGAAAGCGTTTGTCCCCAATCCACTACGCTTATTACATCTGTTTCATTGTCGTTAATATTTCCAAAACAACTTTCTAACCCAAAAATCGGGCTATTAGATCCCCCCGGCCGTTCTATTTTCCCTTTTTCTTCACCGCTCTAAAATTATACATAATTAGGCACCTTATTCAGTTAATTATAACAATGAAACAAATTATTATTTGAATGAAATAATCATTTTGAACTTGTATTTTACAAACCTTATTTCTAATAGATATTATACCATTTGCCAAGCCCAATATTATATATTGACCGTCACTTGTCCATGAACAAGTATTAACCTTTGAAACAATTTTATATTTTTGCACTGCTTTCTGTTCCGCAGACCAAAAAGCAAAGTCAGACGATGAGCAAGAAACTAGTTGATGGGAAACTGGATTAAAGGCCATGCATTGAATTGTATCCCCATGTCTAAATGTAAAAAGTTTGAGTTATAATTGGGCAAAATTTACTAAACTTGTCTTGCTTGAACTCACGAATATTTTAAAAGACCCTCAAATTTGCTAGTCCATATGATAACAGATTTATCTGCTCCACCAGTGGCAAATTTTTTCCCATCCTTTGCATAAGAAGTGCAATATACTTTATCCTTATGTGCTTTTAAAGTTTCTAATAAAGTTCCATCATTTGGATTGTAAATAAGTACTTTATCACCAGCTGCTACTACTAATTGCAACCCTTCAGGATGAAAGGATATTGAATGAATGCTGCAAATAAGCTGTAATTTTAGTAGTGATTGATATTTTGATAAAATAAAGATTTACCTGGCATGATCTGTTTTTTGATTTAAGTCATGAATTTTTTCAACCCATTTCAATACGCCTCGCATAGTTGCAATTGTTACTTATTGTTAAAAACTTTCCCTATTTATCTATGTATAATATTTTGGAACTAGAAACTGAAAGGCAATGTGCCTATTTCACGAATTCAAAAAATAGTTTTATTTCGAATTTTGTATAATTTCATATTAATTTAATTTTCTGAAGGAAACTAACATAAAAGCAAAAACATAAACTTTTTGTTTAATTTCTTTCAAAGTGTATCTCTATCTCATTTTTTCGTTGCTAAGGTAAATAAAATCTCTTAAATTTTAAATTGAACTTTAAGAGAAAGAGATTACTACTTTTTTAAGAAAAACTAATAATAAGAGTTGCCGTTTTTTTGAATAAATAATATCACTGCTCTTCTTGTATTATTATTTTTAGCAAAAGCACGTCTTTATTCGCGATAACACAGAAGATTAATCGGAATAACACAGAAGAGAGAAGCATGGAAAAAATGTACCAGGCAGATAGTTTTTTATAGACTGTTAGTTCTAAATCCCATAAAGTTATTATTTCATTTAACTTTCAATTCAACATTTACTGCGTTTATATGCCACTTGAAGCCGACTTCAAGCGAATTTTGAGTTCATGTAACTTGAAAATGCTACTTGACTTGAAATTTTAAAGTTAAGTCGATTTGATAAAATTATTAGTTTGACTTGAAAATAGATTGCGCATACGCGGATTGAAAGATTGAAAATTAGAAATAAATATATAATGCTTGTCGACTAATGTCAAGCTCAAATCGAATTCAAGAAATAATATTTCAATCTGTATGGTATATCTATTTATGCTGATTGAAGTTTCAAGTCAAGTATTGGATTCACCATAAAAATGAAGTATATAGTATCAGATAGGTGTCAGATAGCTTTCCTCACTCAAGTTATCTATTTTATCAAGTTATCTATATTTGTTTAAAAACGGAACCAAAATTGATATTGTTCAAGTATTGTTTTGGGGAGACAACGGAAATTTCCGTTATTTCCCCAAAACAATAGCAAAACGGCAAAATCAATTGTATAGTATTTTGAATACACATGGAAACAGATAATGTCAAAAAAATTGCCAGAAGTAAGATAGGAATTTAGGTCATTTTACATCCAACGGCGATAATTTCACTTTGAAACTTCTTACATATATTGACATTAATAGATGTACATATATTTATTTTAGGGCTGTTCACCTTACAAATCATGTTAAAACATGTTAAAATTGATTTTTTTAAAAATGACATTTCTGCGACATTTTCATATGCCTCTCGCTGCCGCAGTGTCGCGGCGATGTGAACAGCTCAGTTGCTTATACATATTTTTGTTCATAACAAAAATTGATATGTCGCGCAAGTAAAACATAGCCCTAGTTTTAAACAAAAGTATTGTTATTCAATTGTGTCATGTATGTTTATTTGAATAAATAAATTTTACTCTAAAAATCTTCTAAATCTTCTATATTAGACGAATTTATTAAATTTTTTATTTCATTTTATTTTCTTATCATTACTATAAGTTTACTTTATTTAAATACTTTTATCTGGTAAATAACTCAACGCCTCATCTTTTTTTTCATATACATATGAAAATGTCATTATAAATTAAAACCATTCACATGTATTAATTTCGGTAACAACTACCAGGGGATCGGGAAAATGTCACGCAGTTGGTCAAACAAGGGTTATAAAAATTTAAAAATTGGGATTTGTTTACATTAATAAATAATACATGTTGAACCTTACCTTAATAAATACATAATGAAATACATATGGTCGTAATGTCATATTGTATTTCGTCATAATTTGATCAAAACAAAACAAATTAATTAGCCAAAATGTTTAAAAAATTACTATTTGATTTGAACTATAAAATCCTCACAATTAATAAATATAGTTCAAAGTACCTAATTGCAAATATTTTAGGAAGAAATCTACATGTGAATCATATATGTAAAATTAAAACTAAACCCGTACCAAATTTGGGTTTAAGAAGTGATAAAAATAAAATTTCTCCATTAGGATGGTTTCTTTTGGTCAATTGCAATTATTTCCATAATAGAATTAAATTTCAAAAAATATGTTTGTAGGCAGTTCCTATAACAACATTCAGTTTGGGTTGTTGGCAGGTTAAGCGAAAGACATGGAAAGAAAATTTAATTAAAGAATTGGAGTATAAAACTCAAATAAATCCTGTTCCATTACCAGAAAATTTAGACGATCTACAAGACATGGAATACCGTTCTGTTATTTTAAAAGGAACATTTAAGCACGAGAAAGAGATATATCTTGGACCTAGGTCTTTTATTCAAGTTGATGGCGCTGAATCACGAGGTGGATTGTTTTCTCAACAAAATCAATCAAACGGTTATCTTGTTATTACTCCATTGAAACTAAGTGGAAGAAAGTAATTTTATTGCAATTTTATTTAATATATTACGATTTTAAATAAATTTTAGTGAAACAGTATTAGTTAATCGAGGTTGGGTTCCCAGAAAACTGCTAAATCCTCAAACAAGAATTAATGGGCAAATTGAAGGTGAGGTTGAATTAGTCGGCGTTGTTAGAAAAGGCGAGAAAAGGCCACAATTTTCACCTGACCATCGAGGTGACATTTACTTATATCGGTAAGAACAAAATAAATAGACTCAATAAATCCCTAGCAAATTATTAAAAATACATAAGCATATGATACTCATGAAGAAAGTTGTATAATTTATGTGTAATATGTAGTTAAAACACAAAAATATACAAAAAATTTGTGGATCAAGTAACATTTTAATCAAGCACTTACATGAATTAATTTGGACTCGGAAATATACGAAAATCTAGTTAATTTTTATTTTCTAATAAAATTAAATATGTCCATATCTATTGTAAATATTAATGCCATTAAATTTTATGATGAAAAAATTATATAGAACGATTATCAAATAAAATTTAAATTAAGAATAAAGAAGTCCTACACATTACAATATTGGTTAGAGTCTGAAGAATCAATTGTTTTATTGGAGACACATAGATTTATTTTATCTTTACCGCACTGTTTATTTGATATATTTTTGGCAAAATATAAAATATAAGATATGTATGTATGTATCTAAAAATATATACTTACAAATTAATTCATGATAAACTGGACCCAGTAAAAATTATTTATCATCTACGGTAAGAATTTGTTTAATGACGTCTTTATTTTTATCAAACACTACAATTTCTCATAAACAACTTTAGTCTCCAATGTGATTTCCTGATTTCAGTTCGCATTTGAATTCGTAGATATAACACTTAATAAAAATTATATTAAAATTAATTAAAATGTATACTCTTTACACAAATTTTGCGTTAATATATTATGAATTCTATCTCTCTTTATGACATCAGTTACGTTTTAAAACTGAAAGAAGCGTTTTAAATATGTACATTTGTACATGCATCCATTGCATAAACTGTTTTCATTTTTTATTAAAATATAAATTTTATGAAACATTTGCAGGGATTTAGAAAGAATGTGTAGAGTGACGGAAAGTGAACCATATTTTTTTGATGCTAGTTACACTTCAACAGTCCCTAATGGGCCAATCGGAGGACAGACCAGAGTAAATTTGCGAAATGAACATTTGTCTTATTTGATAACATGGTTTAGTCTATCAGCAGCTACTTCTTACATGTGGTATCAACAAATTCTGACAAAGGCAATTAAATAATAATATCATGTAATATAAAAATAGGTTTTTTTTTAATATATTGGCATTAAAATACGTATACGTACATATAATTAAATTATTTCTTTTCAAGTTGTTTTGTTCACATTAAATAATCGAGACCCTTTGAACTTGAAATATGTATTAAAAAACGGCATAGTGTGATAGAATTTCATTTTTGCAGATAGAATTACTTACAAAAAGACCCAACATGTACTACAATTTACGGCTTTTAAATATATATTTTCAATGATTGGCTCTGGATAAGAGTTAGATATTATAGAAGCAAACTAATATTACTAAAAGAAATAAGACTTGAGTTTTTTTAATTTTTATATAATATTATGTAATAATTAGATTATATAATATTATGTAGTATTTATTTTCGGGATATTACGAAATTTCTGTACAAATTGAATTTGGAATGATCTATATTCTATATGGTATAATGTGCATTTTCTACAATAATGTGAAATGTACATAAGACTTTTTCTTCAATATACCGCAAGACTATAATAATTGATGTCTGTTATGTGAGATGCCCTTCATTAGGTTATACTTGATATCTTTTGTTTCGATCTCTTAAAGGTCCACCAAAAAAGGTGTAGTACTGTTTGATACCTTTTCAACGGTATTGAATATAACTATATTTACCATTTCAATTCTCACACACTACAAGTTTAAGAAAAATTATTTTAACATAATTTATTAATAAAACGTACATATTTGGATAACGACTGAAAGCTTTGAAAGATTTATTGAAGAGTTAATAGTAGGAATTAAATAAACAAATTTTGAAATTAAAAATTATTTCTTTAATTCAAAAATTGCTTTTTCTTATTTTATTTTCCTTTATTAAATTAAAAGATTAATAATTATTATGTATAAGAATCCAAATAATAATTGTAGGTGAGGGTGCATATTATAAAACAACCCCTCGGGACCGATTTTTTTTTTCAAATGCAGGGTGGAAAGAAAAATACAAAACATAAGATTATAATTGAAACACGATAAATAGTTAATAATTATATAAAAAAAAAAATAATATTTTTACTATATATTTAATATCAGAGTATCAATTGTTAAACAATTATTGGAGGAGTAAAAATAAGTAATATAGTTTTCAAGTACGTACTTTTTAATACATATAAATTTAAACAAAAATTTTTGAAAAATTTTTACAGCTTATATTTAATTCTTAATTGTAAGTAAAAATATACAAAAAAAAATTTTAAATGTAAATAATTTAGTTTTGTTCATAAGTTTAATTCTAAATATTTTGGGTTTTCAAAAACCGCAATTAATTTTGGAACAGATTCATAAAATGTCCTATACTGAATTAATATTAATATTTACAAATTGCACGCTTATAAATAACACTACCCGATCGAGCTCAAGTAATAGAGGAAACTAATGAATATCAGTATAAAGTGAATGTTTACAGTGGCAGTTCTTACTTCTACGTGCACATATCTAAATTAATTCTAAAAACTGAATTTCATCTTACTCAAGTGTTATTTTATACATAAAATCTATTATAAATGTAAACATGTGCACATATAGGAAAATATGTATACATACATACATATGTGTATAATGTTTTATGCTTTTCAATATCGAAAATAAATTTTCTTTGTAATTGTTCTTGAAAAATTGATTCTATATTTGATCGATTAGAGTTTTTAAATGTGTAAATATTTAGTTCATAGTTGGGGTATACTACCCCAAGTTCGCATCAAACCAGAACGGTTAATAATTTTTTTACCGATTGTTTGTACGTGGAACCCTATCTGTTGTAAACGATCATGATCCAAAATTTTTCTACCGTCAAAAATATATGCTGGTTTCATCATCGATTGGTAAATTCTTTTATAATCTAAAGTCTAAAAATACATGAAATAAAATTTGTATTTAATATTTTTTTTGACAGTGTTCATACTCAATTTAAATACCGTAAACTCATCCCATTCTGTGCATAAGACTATTGCATGTGTCCCACGTACAGCGCTATATGGATCACTATGAATTTGAACCGCTTTTTTAACATCTTCGGGATACTCAGTTACGGCAGGATGTGTTAAATCGTCAATTATTTGTTCCGGTTCTACTTTTGGATCATAAACATCCAATTTTGCTCCTTCTTCCAATAAAGTTTTACAAACAGTAATTGCTGGGGTTTCGCGTGTATCTCCAGTATTTTTTTTAAATGCAAATCCAAAAATTGATATTCGCTTATCAGATACCGTATTAAAAAGACATTCAATTATCTACAAGTATAAAAATTGCCAATTTTAATGAAATTTTTGATATTTCAAAATATACTTTCTGAGAGAATCTCGCTTTTTGATATTCATTCATGTTAATAACTTGCTGCCAATATGCGGCAACTTCCGGTAAATTTAATCCCTCACATATATAAACTAAATTTAAAATATCTTTTTGAAAGCAACTGCCACCAAAACCAACTGAAGCTTGCAAAAATTTTGAACCTATTCTTGAATCTAAACCAACAGCTCTAGCCACTTCTGAAACATCAGCTCCTGTTGCTTCACAAACTGCTGATAATGAATTAATACTTGATATTCTTTGAGCTAAAAAAGCATTCGCTGCCTGGAAATAAATGAATACTGTATAGTTATATTTTTATTTTTTAAACTAATATACAAGTTTTGAAAGTTCAGAACTCCAGGTATTTGTTGTTAAAATATTTTTTTTTGGTATCCAGTGTTCATAGATCCAAGATAATGTTTCTATAGCTTCTTGACCTTCAGGTGTTTCTTCGCCCCCAATTAAAACACGGTCTGCATTCAAAAGATCTTCGACAGCAGTTCCTTCAGCCAAAAATTCTGGATTTGACAGAATATCATAACGAACACCTCGAATTGAAAAGAAATTATTATAATTATTATAGAAATTATTTTAATATTAGCTAAATATAAAAATGCTTTTAAAAAATATTTACCAGATTTTTGATTGGCACGTAATATATGCATTATACTCTCTGCAGCTCTAACAGGAACCGTACTTTTTTCAACAACAATCTTATTGCTTTTTGCTAATTCAGCGATCATTCTGGCAGCATTTTCAACATATTTAAGATCGGCTGCGCGACCTAAGTACAAAAATAATTAATTTTGATGGGTTTATATGAACGAAAGAATTAACAATAAGTAGTAAAAACGGAAAAAGTACCTTTTCCATTTCCAAAAGTTTTTGTCGGTGTGTTTACAGATATGAAAATTAATTCTGCCTCTTGAATAGCTGTTTCTATATCAGTTGAAAAAAATAAGTTGTTATTACGACATTTTTTCACGACATCATCTAAACCAGGCTGCAACAAAGATGAAACTCTATTTATTTTTACTTGAAATGACAAATATTATTTGTTATTGCTTTTAAAAATAATTAATATTGTTTGTATATTATGGAATATTTTATTTATACTCTTGAAATTTACTCAAACTCATACATTTCAGGGTACCCGAATTCAATTGGCAATACTACATTTTATTTTACTTTTGTCCTCCTATACTTCAAGCGCCACAATATTATATAGGCTCACGAACAATACATTTGATTATTACAAGATTTCGAAGATTACAATAGCTACTACAAAACTAATAAAATGAAAATAAAGTATCAAATTATCTATTTCCTTTGTGATATAGCTGAAAAGATAAGGTGATTTGCTTGAAAAAGTAAAAGGATGTAAAAATCAGCTTTGCACTTCAGTTTTAAAAAGTGATTGCAAGTATGTATAAATGTAAGTCTTATAGTTTCTTAATTATTGAATCAGAAGAATTAAGAATTTAGGAATTACTAAATGTTTGTTTAATTGTTTATTATTTAAGTAAAAGATAGACATTCGCCGAAAGATGTTACGATTCAAATTGTGTAAATATTGAACAGAAATACGTCAATCTTAACATTGCAACACCTTTTGTGCTAAACAAAATTTACAATTTTTTGAAAATAAAATTTTTTTGAAAAAACTTTTATTTCAATCATGAATTGCATTCGATATGTAAACATGTATACGTATATTTGTGCGTAGGGTTATTCAGTATTGTATAAATAAGTAAAAATTTGGCATATGAATAGCACATACGGACCATATTGTGCATTGTCTAAATTTTTTACATACCTACACTAAAATTACTTGATTTAGCTTATATATATGTACATATAATAATATAGACTAGTATTTATATAGTATTAGTAAAGGTTGAAAATGTATATCAAGATTATCTTAATATCGCTTTAAATTTTGTATTTGGCACAGGGTCTCTTAGTGAGATTTCAGTTTTAAGAACCTCATTCGCCGAAAAACGAAAAAAATTCATATAGGTATTAAGTTAGTGTCAAAACAAGTAAAGACCGAAATAATAGAATTTATTTTAATAATAGAATGTAAAATCATGAATAATAAGAAAAATTGTTATTGCGTTTATATTGGTTTGACACTAGAAAAGTGGAATATTATAACAGATTTTATAACAAAAATTACAAACTAATTTTTAGAGAAAACAAAAAAAATTGGCACACTCAAATTGGTACTCCCAAAACAAAAAAAATTGGCACACAAAATGTTAAATATCAGTGTTTAAAAGATGATTAAACTCATATTTTATATTAAATTTTTAAAAATGAAAAGCCAAAATAAGCCAGAATATTTAAAAAGTATAAGAATGAAGTTTAAACATATTATTTGCGAAATGGGAACGTCAGACAACGTATAGAATAAGAGCGAATAAAACCAATACCAGAAATTCCTTTATTTTAAAAGGTTTTCTGAATTTGAAGCACTACGGCCAAATATAATGGAAAACAAATTATTAACATGTACAATAAGTACATACACACGTACAGGAGAAAATGTATTGAATTTATAAAGAATCAATCAAATTTTTAATATACATATTTTCAAATATCTTTAATTTGAATACCTGAAAAGTCTGAATTATGAATGTAGTCAACAATTTTAGAGTAGTCTAATTTAAAATGAAAAAGGTTTGTTAAGAGTTACGATTAACTAATAAGGCGTTGTTATTATTACATGTCGTACATATACTCGTATATATATTTCTTTATTATCGTTGACCTATTTATAAATCTTTCAAATAAATTCAAAAAAAAAATATCAAATCAATTGCAATTAGTACGAAAGCAAATGAAATTAAAATGGAAAAAATTCATCGTAAAAATAATTTACGTAATTAGTTTCATACAATAGTGATTTTCGCCATAGTAGGTTTACGACTTTTTTTTTTCGAAGCAATTTTAATTAAATTACTGAATTTATGACGAAAGTTCTAAAATAATCGAAAGAGTTAATTTTTTTAATTTTTTAAGAAATTATGGGAATTATCATGAAATATTTATAACGTAAGGTTTAGTATTGATAATAACAATGGTAGGTTTGACGATTAAGTTTAAATAAGTAAGTAACATTGTTAAATTTAAGCCTATTAAACTTTTATTGACATTAAAAAATATTTTGGAATTCGTACTCACAAATTTTAAAGAGCAAAAGTATTTTTTCTAACTCCATAAAAATAATCCCAAATCATCCGATTTATGTATATGTAGCAAAATAGTGGGCGCTTATAGTTCAATTCATTAAAAGTATATAATTTAATATAATAAGTAATAATTTTATATTATCCGATTTAATCTAAATAATTAATATACATGTAATGCGTACATGTCGAAGCGTTTTTTTTAACAATTTGTTAATACTAACTTTAAAGTTATAATTACTAATGAAACGTTATTTTTAAGCCATGTTCTCGCTGCCTGAAAATAATTGTTATTAAATTATTTTTTCTCTTCTATGTATTTATATTGTTATATTGTTATTTTTAAATTTAATAATGGGAGCTTAATATATATATAATTAGTAATAGTGTAAAGTGAAATTAATTTTTTTTAATGAATGTATTAAATTTACTGGTAAAAAAAAATCTACATAATTTAAAGTAAAACATAATATTTTTTTAAGTGTAATATCGAAAATGTATAGGGGTAAGAGTTTGAGTATGACCGTTATGCGATAGATGTATAACAGTAAATTGATAATTATTTTAAAGCAATATCTTTTTTTTATATATTTTTTCGAAGTACCTAAATATGTAATACATAAATTTGAGATTTATGGAATTTTTATAAAAAACTATGTGTTTTAGAAATTAATTAAATTTAATACTTATGACGGTTTAAAAGTTGTTACGTAAAATAAACGTAAGTGCAGTAAACAAAAATTTTATACGGTCATATTTAAATAAAAGGGTAAAATTGTATTGATTAATGCATAAAATTCTTTAATTCATAAGAATCTTTCATTCATAAAAATCTTTTAAACGACTGCCAAGTTTCATTAATCTCACTTTATTATTTTTCCAAATATTTAAAATTAGCTTTTAGATTTGTATGTTTTTGAAGTTGTATAGCAGCCCTTTGAACCAGTGCCGCCATCCCATTAAAATTTTTAGAGCATATGTAGAATGTAATTGGACACACGTGTACAAAATTTCATATTTAAAATAAGCTATTTGTGTTGTATGGCAGCTACCCGAACGCGCTTTCCGAATTAGTTCAATTACAATAGGGTCCGTCCTTGGCTCAAAAGAAAAAACTTGTGAAAAATTAGTGTCGCTATTATTATTCGTTTTTGAGTTATCGTGCGACCAGACGGACGGTCGGACTTGTCTAAATCAACGCAGAATTTTACTCTGAGCCAGAATATATTTATATGTCCATACCACAGATGACTCCTTCAAGTAGATAAATAGGGAAGTTTTTATTTTAATTTAGCAAATTATTATTTTTAAGTTACTAAATCGATAAAATTTTTAGTGTTCTTTTTTCTAAACATTTTGCCCTCATTTAAATTAAGAAACAAAATGTACAAAAAAAAGAATCAAAACAATAATAATTTAATTTGTGTTTATCAGTTTTTATTTTTAACACTTTAGTCTGCGTAACACAAATATTTCCGTAGTTTAATAATTCTATGAGTTTTTAAACTTGTTAATTAAAAAATAATTTTTTTCAAATACTCAAAATTGGGAAGTGTTTTTACAAACAGAACTTATTACTATAAATTAAAAGCAAATCGCTGAAAAAGTTTCTTTCCGACTCTCATAATAATATTATGTGCAGAAATAATTATTTAATTTAAAAAAAATATTAAAAGATAAATATTACAGGGCTGTTTTAACAAAAAACGTCATATGATATTCTCCGAAAAATTAATTTTTCAAATGTAAAGGAAACTAGGTGTTAACATGATCCTACTTCAGCGTCCTATTAAAAAATGTGATGGAGAACACAATTCATTTCAAATTATCTAGATACCGTTGATGTTCGCGATTAAATTTGTACTCGACCCTCTAATACTCCATTACTTACTCCATTACCCTTTAACTATGTTCGTTTAAATTAACATAGTTACATCGTAATGGAGTCATTATTTTTGTAAATTAATTTCAAATAATATAAAGTAGACCATATTTAAGAAAATGTTAAATATACAGCAATAATTTTTAAAGCGGATTAAAAAAAATAGTAATTATCTTTAATTAGTACGTACTTATACATTATTCGGACCGATATCATGACACGGTCAATATTCTACCTTATTTTTCTATATATTTTCATATAGAAGAATTATTATTGAGTCTCAGGAAGTGTTTATACATTTTATGTTTATTTTATTTACTCTTTAATAAAATTGTAACTTTTTCTAAAAATTTAAATCGAATCTTTATGAAATTTTGTTAAAATTGAGTTATGACTCACATGGACACGAGAAATAGACAGACATGAAATAATCAGCTCATTTTAAGGACTAACGTAACAAATTGATTATTGTTTCTTTTTTTTTTTTGTTGGGCGTCACTACAATCTCATTAATTTATAAAAATTTTAATTAAAACTTTAATTTTTAATTAAATTATTTTGTTTAAGCTTCAAAAATTGAAGTGCAAATTGTGTCATGAAAGTTATGTAGCGTTATTTTGTCTTTTGAATTTTTCTCTATCAAAATTAGAGATATAAATATTATCTTGGTTCCATATTAAATAATATATATATAAGTAAATGCTTCCAATAACTATATACATACGCACAACTCTGTATATCTATCTCAAAGTAACAAAGCACTAAAAAAAAATTGTGATTAAAATTTTGTTAGACTGCTGAGGAACGTCATTCATACACGCGTACACATCGAAAACATATATGACATTTAAAGTTATTAAAATCACAAGCTCTTTAAAGGCATGTCTGTAAAATACATAGGTAAAACATACTTCAATATTAAACCAGATA